GACCGCGCCCGGACCGCCCCCGCCCCCGCCCGCCCCGCCCCCATAAGCGTTCATAACCCCGCCCCCCGGCCCCGCCTCCTACCCCACCTCCACCGCGGAGCGGAACCCTCAGAGTGGCGTCCAGAAGGGGAAGACGAAAGAGGTGGCCTGCTGGACCAGCGAAGAACCCCGCTCCGGGCAGGAACTAGGCGGACTCCCTGAACCCCCTTCCTTCCCTGCCTGCTGCGGACCCCTGTCGAGGCCGGAGAAACAGACGGTTTCTCGGCAACCACCTGGGTACCCTGGCCCCGCCCCTTGGAGCCCTGCCTGAAGGGCCCCGCCTTCCGCTGAGGAGCGGAACCCTTAGAGTCGCGACCTGCGTGGGGAAGAAAATAGGGGCGGTCCGTGGGACCAGCGTAAAACCAGGCTCCGGGCGGGAACCGGGTTTCCTCACCCTCGCTGAGGCCAGAGAAGCAGGGCCTTCCACGACACCCACCTGGGTACCCTTCCACCAGCCGAAATCGTGGCCCAGTTCCCTCCGCTGCCGCCAGCGGAACCCAGGTTATGGAACGCAGTTTGGAAGGGAAGGGGAGAACCTGAACTGGGTCTCCTAGTTACACCTCTGGTGCCTGCGACCCCACCCATCTTGGCGCTGCTTCCCTGGCCAGACTCGCAGTTCTACAAACCTACAACTTAAAAGTGGAGATTCATTAGTTTCTCATGGCTGCTAGTTCACAAGCTTCAGCGTGGTATTCGTGATCCTACGAATTTGACTCCTAGGTGAATCTCACTAGCCAGCTACACTGGCGTAATCATCATTTCCGCAACCTCTTTGCAACTCTCCAAGGTGTGTGTGTGTGTGTGTGCGTGCGTGCGTGTGTTTAAGAGATTTTTGCTATAGGGCGCATGCGCTCTCCTGGGAGAAACAGACAGAGGGCGAGAAATCACCACCCAGGGTGGATGGCCACGCTGCAACCCTTTCTCCATTCTCCTCTCCGGATTTTGGGGACGCATGCACACACGCACACACAGCGTGAATTGAAGCCGCTGGGTCTGTGACTCCACCGCTGTTGACTACCTGGGAGTCCAGCGATGTAACCTTTAGGCTGTCTCCTGGCCCCTAATCTCGAGTTTTTAACGGAACCTTTTAACGGAACCTTTCCTGCTCCTTGACTCCGAAGCCTCCTGCCCTGCAGTTTAGCTGTTCCCTATTAGCCGCCTCCATTCTCTGAATTGGGATAGCAATCTCTTTTTTTTTTTTTTTTTTTTTTGTAGCAGTTTTTGCTATAGGGTGTGTGCGCTCGTCAGACAGACAAGAGACAGACAGAAAGCGAGAAATCACCCCTCAGGGGGGATGGCCACGCCGCAATTCCTTCTCTCCTGTTCTCCTCCCTCTCAGGATCTTGGGCACCCATGCACACGCGCCCAGTGTGTTTTAAGCCACCGGGTCCGGGATGCGAACCGCGGATGACTACATGGGAGTCCAGTGACATAGCCATTACGCTAACTGCTGGTACCTGTATAGCAATCTCTTTAGTAAAGGTTTAGGACTTGGAGTCAGTTCATATCTCACTTCTGCCATTTGTAAGTTAAGTGAGCTATGGCATGCTGTTTTAGCTGTTTGAACTTCAATGTTTTCATCTGTGAAATGGAACTAATAATAGCACCTACCTGGTAGGGTGACAGAAGGGCAAAGGATGAATATAAAGAATTTAACATGAGCCTGGCTCATAGAAAAGTACTTAAATCATAGCTGTTTTAATCATTTTGGCAATAATGTATTGCCTCCTGTTATTTATGTTTTTGTATGCAGATCAGGCTTTTCTAGCTAGGTTGTAGGTTCTTCATTGCAACAGTCTTTGTTATCTCCTGCCATCCCTGGTACAGTGTTAAACATGTAGTTGAAGCTCAATTAATGCTGACTGAATGAGTGAATGAGAAGTCCTGTTCAACTAGGCCCCCTGTGTTTAGTCCTTAACCAAGTTCATGTTAGATGTTCCAGAACATAAATCTATAGTTTTGCTCTGTCATTCAGCTAAAGCACCAAATCACCAGCTCACATACTGTTTTTTTCTTACTGTTGGTTCTTGAATCATACAGCAACCCATGTATGAATCGCCATGCAGAATCTGCAGTGGTTTAAGGGATAAATAAAACTAGACATTAAGTAATTATTATTAAATCCCTTTTGGAACTTGAATATGTACTCTTACTAGAATTTTCATATATTTTCCTGCTTCTAAAAGTTGGATTCCCACCGAGTATGTCAACATTTTGTTTCTTGATCTCATTCTTTGTTAATTCTGTCATATATGCATGCACCCCTTTTGGTGTATAGCTAGTTACATGTTGAGACTTTGGCCTGAGCTTTAATGTGTATTGTCTTATAGGCTATGTTTCTATTTTTTATCCTTTTTTTTTTTTGAGAGTTTTGCTATAGGGTGCATGTGCTCACCAGAGAGACAGAGACAGAGACAGAAAGCGAGAAATCACTCCCCAGGAGGGACTCCCACATAGCAATCCCTTCTCCATTCTCCTCTCGGGATTTTGGGCATGCACGCACACATGCCTGGCGGTGTGAGTTTCAAGCCACTTGTCCGGGACTCAAACCACAGTAGACCATATAGGAGTCCAGCCATGTAGCCATTATGCCATTGGCTGGTCCCAAGGCTGTTTTTCAATAAGCTCAAAAATCTAGGATAAAACCGAGGATGGAAATGCATATTATCATATATGCTAGTTTTTCTCAGTAAGTTTAAAAATGTAGCATAAAACCAAGGAGGAGGGCTACCATGTTTTAGGTTTTACATTTCCAACCAGAATTTAATGAATCATTTTGGATTAGTAAGCTGTGCAATATAAGAATCAATCTTGTATCTTTGAATCCTCACATCCCTGAGATGCAAAACCTCCTCATATCTTGGTCTCCATGTTCATGAAGCCTTTCTCTCTGGCTATCACCCATGGAAACTTGTCTCCAAGTCATTTCTCAAATACTTGTCAAGAATCAGATGTGGTATACAGTGGTCATGTTATCTGTTTCTGAGGTTGATTCATGATCTTCATAAGGAAGGAAACCCAGAATTGGACACTGAGGTAGCTCCAGGTCTGACTTGTCTGACCCTGACCAGAGTGTCTGCCCTTCATCCTGGCACAGAGACTTCTGCCAAGGCAATCTCTAGGGAGCTACATGTCAGTGTCCGAGGTGGAAACCAGTAAGTGCTTCTCTTGGAGGATTTAAGTCCCTGACTCTACAGGAAAGCACTCTAGCTTTGACCCAGAGGACAGGGTCAACTTTGAATCAATTCACTGAAAATAACCAGCTCATTCAACTTAATAGTCATTTCCACGAAAACAATTTTAGTTGACTGAAGATCATTTTGCTTTTCATGACAAAAAACTTCTCTGTAGCTAGTCTGAGAGTGAGGTAAAAAAGAGACTGGCCCTGTGGTGCAGCAGGTAAAGCGCTGTGTGTTGGAAAACAGATCTGGCAAGGTCAACCGTGGTCCAAATCCTGGTCCTGGTGGCCTGAAAAACAAACCAGGTGAATGTATGTGCATGCCCCAAATCTTGGCGGGATGGAGGAATGGATGAAAAAGGATGGCAGTGTAACTACATCCTATTAAGGGGTGCTTTCTATCTCTCTGGTGAATGTGTATGCACTCTGCCAATTAAAAATTTAAAAAATAAAAGAGGGGACATCAGGGTGCATAAGATTTCTTGATAGTGAATATGTTAAATATGTTAAAAGAATATATTGTGTAAGTATGTTCAATTTTTGCCTGTTCTAAAGACTGAGAGGAAAAGAATAAAAAATGTACTGAAAAGAATCCTTCCCACTTGAGTATGTTCTATGACCAGTCTTTCCTGTCTTTTAGACTCCAAGAGCAGCAAGGAGCTGAAGCAGACAAACTCAATAGTCCTTAAAATTCTGTTGTGGAGGGACCAGCAGTTGGCATAATGGCTATGTCGCTGGACTCCCATGTAGTTGACCATGGCTTGAGTCCCGGACCCGGTGGCTTAAACTCACGCCAGGTGAGTGTGCATGCACGCTCAAGATCCTGAGAGGAGAATGGAGAAGGGATTGCGGCATGGCCATTCCCCTGAGGGGTGATTTCTTGCTTTCTGTCTCTCTGTCTCTCTCTGTCTTTCTGGTGAGCGCACACATCCTATAACAAAAAGCTCTCCAAAAAAAAAAAAATGCTGTTATGGAGACAAAATGATATCGAACAAGTCTACTTGGTGAATTAGTCATTCAGTGAATTAGATTTTCATTGAAATGACCTTCAGCAAATTGACCTGCCTCGTAGGTGACCTCATTAGACACAACCCACTTCCAAATGAAGCTGTTTTACCATTTTTATAAGAAAATCATGACGCTGCTCATTGAAGTCGACAGAATTTGATGATTGCAGTGTGTTTTAGAAAAAATCCTCTCCAATGTTCTGAGGAATTACTTCTTCAAATACTGTCCCCTTAAGATACAGTCTCAGGGGAACCAGCAGTTAGCGTAATGGCTATGTCGCTGGACTCCCACGTAGTCGACCGCGGTTCGTGTCCCGGACCCGGTGGCTTAAAACTCACGCCAGGCGCGTGTGCGTGCGTGCCCAAGATCCCAAGAGGAGAATGGAGGAGAAGGGATTGCGGCGTGACCATCCCCCCTGGGGGGTGATTTCTCGCTTTCTGTCTCTATGTCTCTCTCTGTCTGTCTGGCGAGCGCACGCGCCCTACAGTGAAAATCTCTCAAAAAAAAAAAAAAAGATACAGTCTCAGAAACAATTTTAAACCCAAAGGATGATGCTTTTCAGAAACATTCTGTCTCTGTCCTATTCTGTATCTACCATAAAAAAAATATTTAAAAAAAACCAACAAACAAAACAAAACCAAGAATTTGACTTAATGACCACAGCCCAGACACAAAATATAATAGAAAAAAAACAAGGGGGAAAGGATCACATTGGCCATTGCACATCCATTTCTGTACACTTGGTTACAAAATCTGCTCAGGAGCTTGGTTTCTGAGGTCTCACCCCCCAAATGTAGAGTCTTTTACCACCTTCTTCATCAGTTTAGTACTTGGCATCTTTATGGGAGCTGAGGACCTTGGAAGGAAAGACTGCTCAGACCTCCTGCAAGGGCAAGGCCAGCTTACACCATCTGGGGGCTCCCACATGCTAACTAGCAACACAGAAACTCCCAACCTTGTCCTTGTTTTCCTGAAATTTTACTGTTCCATGCTGAGGAAGCAGATACTTGCATGAGATCTGAATCTGGTCTCACACATTGTCTACAGGCCAATGGCAACGTGTGTTAAAGAAATAACCCTGAGGGGCCAGCAGGCGGCGTGGTTGTTAAGGTGCTGGGCTCCAACATGGCTGACCAGAGTTTGAGTTCCAGACATGGGTTCAAGCCTAGACCTGGAGGCTTGCTTTCTCACTTTCTTTCTTTGGTAAGCACACATGCTATAGCACATTTTTAATAATAAAAATAATAATAATTCTTTAAAAAATAAAGAAAAACAGAAAGAAGGAAAAGAAATAGCCTTGAGGGGCCAGCAGGTGGTATGGCTTTACTCTCACATGACCAACCACAGTTAAGAGTCCTGGACCTGGCAGCTTGAAAATCATGCTGGGCACATGTGTGTGTGTGCCCAAGGCAGAACAGGCCCTAACTCTAATTTCAGTCACAGCCTATCTGCCATTTCCCAAAAGATGTTACTATTGTTTTTATCTTCATCAGCCATGGCCTACCACACTGTCAGAGAAAGACATTACAAATGTTTTCTCTTTGAGAAAGTTAACCAAACTTACGGACTTAACTGCAAATTTATTTAATTGATTTTAACATTTTGTTGATTTGAACATAAATACAAGACAATTAGAGAAGAAATATTGTGAAGACAAATCAGCACTCACAGAGATGTATCATGTTATTAACTATGGTTATTCTGGGATACAACGCTCACTTAAAATATATACAAGGAAACCTTAGTAAAAGGCTTAACTAAAGGGTTTTGAAATGTTCCTAATAAGGATGTTCTTGAGGCACTGCTCAAGCAGGTGTAGATGGAAAGCAAGATAGACCCTATATAACTAGGAGCAATCGAGGTTTGATACATAGAGAAACAAGAGCATTGGAGCATCGGTCACTGTTGCCCTTGTCACTATACACATTTTACAACTTGACATGTTTTAAAAAACTAATTGTAGCTCTGGCTGGGCCAGAGTGTACCAGTCATAAAAATCAGTAACGTACCATGCAGTTGCCTTTTAAAGAACAGTAATATGATTTTTCCCCCTTATATGTACATATCTCTTGTAAAAAATACTCCTACTCTACTCCCCTCTTAGGAAAGGCTCTGGGGATCTGAGAGTGGCAGTGTATGTATCTCTTCCACATTCACACTTTTCTCCAAAGACAGACCATATGACATCCCCCTCTGTGGCCCAGGTATAATGTCTCGGTGCAGGTTTCATAATCTGATGATTAGGGATGAGGTCAGGAATGGGTATTGTTACTGGATGCCATGTCTGGCTGTACAAGCCATAGCCTGCACAAGCAAGCATGTACCCAACAGGGTGGCGGGGCTAAAATATAGCCCCTGCTCTGTTTGCCAAACCATGAGCCATGGGGCTGTGTCTGCCTGGTAGGGGTGCCTTTGTGTCATGAGCACTAACCGTGGCATTGTCTGTGTACCTTTCCCCAGTCTGGCTGGCATCACTAGTTCCTGACTTCAGTGAGGTGTCTATATTTCACATCTCATATCATCTCCAAGAGGAGCTTTAGAATAAACTGAACCAGCAAGGATTTTCTGAATGATCACGTTAGACAAGACAACACAACCACGATTCCACAAAGAAATAAATTTACACAGTAGAAAATAAATACAAAAAAAGGTATAAGATTTTCGACACGTAAGTCACTAGAATTTAGCTTATATACAACAAAGGCATGCACAACTAAACTCACCAATGAGCTCAATGAAACCCACAGTTGCTTTATATGATTTTATAAAAGCTAACCGCCTCTTTAAAGTGTGGCTGGAAATTAACTAGTTTTTCTGTTTTGAACACAAGTCTTATTCTTAGTGCGTTGATTCAAATCTTTCAAAAAGGAAGGCTAAGAAACCAAATTGCGAATGTCTACAAAACCATGGTATAATGTCTTGGTTTCCTCTTCCAATAGTAACCATTGCCCTCAATTAGCTTATGTTCGTCCAGAGGTTGCTGAGTATAAAGTAAGTTGATTTCCATACGTCTCACATTGTGTAAAAGGTAGAGTTGGACATTTCACACTGTCAAGCATCATGCTTTGGTTTGAGAAAAAAAGGAATCACATTTGCTCAATAAAGTGTAAGCTTCCTCGCTTTGAAGTCCTTCTGAGAGCCATACGGCTTTTGCCATTGCAGGAATCTTCTTTCTCGTTAAACACGTGCTGCTTTCCTGTGAAATCATGAAGGCACACGTCTCCATTCTGAACACTGAAAGAAACCCCATTCCTCTCTGTAGAAGCATTACCTAGGTAAGGAAAGACAAAGTTGGTGTCCTGAGGTAGCCACAGAGAGCGTTAAAAAAACAAAACAAAACAGAAAACTCGAACAGTATTGCATTCTTCAATAGGCACATGTAAAACATGTCTTTCAACAAATATTTATGATACATATCCATCTTTTATAAATTTTTCATTCTTCCCCTAGGGCCAGTTAAAATAAGTAAGCATAACAGACTGGAGACTGATTCAGAGGCCAGTTCTTGTTAATGAAATGGTCAAAATATGAAGCAAAGCGATGTATTTTAAAAGGCCCACTTCCTACCCCAGTTGAACACATGTGGACTTCAAGTAGTAGGATATGTATAATATAACCTAAGGTAATATTTTGGTCTCCCCAAAAGGTTAAGGTTAACAGAGACCCCCTTCCTCCATGTATCCTTCCAAGGTTCTTGGCCTTACAGACAAACTGTGGTTTGTGTTGGCCTGGGCCCTCCCCTCCACCTGGAGCAGGCCCTGAACTGTGGGGAACACAGCTGCTCAGACTAGCTAATGGGGTCCACCCTTCTGATCATTATACCACTGGGAAATGATACAGAAAACTGAATAAGAAGTCCATTTATTAGTTATATTGTCAGTAGGATACATTACCAATTGTAATGCCAGTGCTGAGCATTTTATAAGTATTTAAAGTATCTCACTGATGAGCCTAGTGGTTGGATACCATTATCCCCATTTCACAGATGATGAAACTGAAGTTTCAGAACTTAAGCATTCTTGAGGTAACTGCTCAGAAGTAAGACAGTCAATATGTGACGGTATTTCTGAATCGTGAGCGTGTGGCCCCGTGTACCACGTGAGATGGCTGCTGAAGCCTGAGGCAGCTTGCAACTGAAACATGATATGGATGCAAACTAGGTGATGGGTATGGTTAACACAGCTTCGTTGGCGACAGCTCCAACAGGGCATGTGACTGCCTGGAGCAGCTGCTCTGATGTAGGCATTTGCTTTGAGGCCATCCTGAACTAGGATAATAAAGAACATCAGCTGCTTTTCTGAAATTGACAAACCATCCTCAGTCATCTCAGCTCCTAGTGTGAGGACTGAGGCAAGGATGTTTGTCTGCCATGCCTGTTGTGTGGTATTAGACACACAGTCAATTTGGTGGCATTAAAGTGCACTCCAACCCTCACCGTCAGGCATCAAAATAGATGTGTCAAATCAGCTGTGTCAAAATGTCAACTCTGATTCCCCAAAGCATGATGATACATTGACAGGGACAGGTGAGTGAGACTTCATCTCTAAGCTCTTTCTAGAATATGGAAAAATCTGGCCTACAGATTAAGAGCCTCAAGCACCTGTTGTGATTCTAAGGCTTCTTGATCCAGTTCAATCCCTAGATTTCTCTCCTTTCAACTTGCTATCTTACACTAACTTATTAACCAACCCTAATTCCCCCACCTCTACCCTGTTTACCTACACTGAATCATTCCTGATACAGCCATTGGGCACAGAGCCCAGAGCTTTCGCTCTGGTATTGACATAAAAATCTAAGGCCATATGGCAGCTGGTTCTCATCTTTTACAGCAGTGGTTCCCAACCTAAGGCATGTTTACCCCCCAGGGAACAGCTGGTAGTGTCTGGGGACATTTTTGGTTGTCACAACTAGATGTGGGGTACCACCGACTCTAGTGGGTAGAGGCCACAGATGCTGCTAAACATCCTACTATTCCACAAGAAAGTCAATTGTGCTAGAGGATGAGCAACCTTGATTTTGAGGCATCCTATTGCAGGGATCCCCAATCTCCAGGTCACCTGTTAGAAACTGGGCCACACAGCAAGATGTGAGCGGCAGGTGGGCGAGCAAGCGAATGCAGCTTCATCTGTATTTACAGCCGCTCCCCATCGCTCTCATTACTGCCTGAGTGCAGCGTCCTGTCAGTTCAGTGGTGGCATTAGATTCTCATAGTAGCCCCTAGATGGGACCGTCTAGTTACAAGAAAATAAGCTCAGGGCTCCCACCGATTCTACGTTATGGTGAGTTGTATAATTATTTCATTATATATTACAACGTAATAATAACAGAAAGTACACAATAATGAGTTTGAATCATCCTAAAAGAATATGCCCCCACACAGTCCACCCCCACTCCTGATCCATGGAAAAATTACCTCCCATCAAACTGGTCCCTGGGGCCAGAAAGGTTGGGGATCACTGTTATATTGAATTTTTTTGTTTTAAACCAACAGTACTTCCCTTTAGGGAGATTGAAAAACTATTTCATAGATTTTTGAACTTTCTCACAAATGCCTTTGAGTTAGGCACAAAAAGAACTAATATCCTAAAACAATGAATAAAGGCAAACTTCCAATGAAAGGGCCAAGTATAGTGGCAGAATTCAGATTTTTATCAAAATGCAAAAGCTATATTAAGAAGCAAAAGAAGGTAAACAGAGAAGACAAGCTTTTATAAGTAACAAACAGCCCAGTCTTATGAAAGAAAGAGGACACAATGGACGTTTTAGGTAGGAATGTCAGGAGTGAGGAGTAAAGGAGGCATAGCAGCAACGGTCTGTTCACGTATCAGTGACATACACGCAGGGGCTTCAAAAACTTCATGGAGCAATTATAGTCAAACTATGAGTTTATTTTGGTGCAAAAACATTTTGAAATCCATGGATAGTTTTTTTATGTAATATGCCCTTTCCATGAATTTTTTCAAGATCCTGCACATGGTCACCAATACTGGCCACGACTCACCTTTGAGTATTGATGTATTTATGGGGGTCTGGGCACCGTCCCAAGGCACCACACTGTGGGGAACATGAAAAGCAAAAAACAGGAAGTTTTTTTTTTAAAGTATCGAAGATGTATATTATAGATAAAATAAAAACTGATCATCTTATTGGCTATTTTAGGTATTGCTCTCAGAAACAGCACAATACTTAAGTATCTTGGCAATACATAAACGAGGATTTGAAATGTTAAAACTTTTAGGTCAGAAGATTAATAAACTTTCTCTTATATAAGGGAACCACATTTTAATCCACTAGTCATATATGTAACTATACACTTTGCTTAGCAAAAATGCCATTAAAGGATAAAACTACTTTTAAAAATAAACACTAGCTTGAGAAATACTATATTGAGACATACATACCATTCCCGCTCGCGTGTACTGAGCAATCATTATTCACTAGCAGTGTGGTGGAGTTAGTGGAGTTACTGTTTGACTGTAAGGAATTTGAAGAGCTGGACACTCCTTGGTTTACAGTCTGCTTCTTTAAACCATTAGTAGCAGTTTTACTCCAGTCTACAGCAGAATAAGCATTACAGAAAAACAGGGCAGTATGTTGAAGCTCAAATGCAAGAGACAGATCACAGTGTACCAAGTTCTAGCAACTAATCTCTCACTTTAAGATCCTATAGAGGTGGGGCCGGCAGGTGGAGTGGTAGCTAAGGGTGCTGGATTCCCACATGGCCAACCGTGGCTCGAGTCCTGAACCTGGTGGCTTACTTTCTCTCTCCCTCCCTCTCTCTCTCATTCTCTCTCTCTCTCATCAAATTAAAATCATAATAAAGTTAAATGAAAAATTATTTTAAAAAAAGATCTTATAGAGAAGTCACATATTTTACAAGTTGGTGTGATAAATAAGTCATCATCAATTCCCATTATTAAACAAACAAACAAAAAACCTAAAACAAGTTGGTGTATATTGCTGGGCCAGTTGCAGTGCTGCAAGAGTAATGCAACCCTCAGTGATGCCAACCCCATATGGGAAGGTCCTGGGTTCATGTCCCAGGGTCTTTCTGTGCACACACACGTGTGCCTTCATCCTGGCTGGCTGAGGCTGGGGGTGGATCACAGTGTGAAGATGCTATAGGGGATGCCCCCCCCACACACACATAAATAAATGAACTTCAAAGATGTATTTTCATTTAGATTATATACATTTGTCCTTCAAATGACTGCCTGGCTAAAAGTAACCTACTTCTCCTGGAATTAAAAGTCACACTCATTTGGGGACCAGCAGTTAGCGTAATGGCTATGTCGCTGGACTCCCATGTAGTCAACCACAGTTTCAAGTCCGAGACCCGGTGGCTTAAACTCACGCTGGGCGCATGTGCGTGCATGCCCAAGATCCCAAGAAGAGAATGGAGGAGAAGGGATTGCGGTGTGGTCATCCCCCCCTGGGGGGTGATTTCCTGCTTTCTATCTCTCTGTCTCTCTCTGTCTGTCTGGCGAGTGCACACACCCTATAGCAAAAACCTCTCCAAAAAAAAAAAAAAGTCACACTCATTTGTGTCTATAAAGGTCCACTGAATTAGCTAGTAATTCCAAGTTTCACAGTGTCTTGACAAAAACACAGATCCGCGGAGCTACGGCAACCACCTGTCCTTCAATCCATGGAAATGACTGACTACACGCACTGCCGTTTTCTGAATACAGGCTCCTGTACCCCCAGACACTACAAAGGTGGAATTCATGAGTGGTATTCCTGCAAAAGGAATCTAGCTTTCAAACAGTACTACACTTCTTTTATTTTCTTAAACATGAGCTATCTGCCCTACTACCCAACTGAGCATTTTGAAAATAACTTCAAAAGAACCAAATGTAGGGACCAGGAGTTAGCGTAATGGCTATGTCACTGGACTCCCACGTAGTCGACCGCGGTTCGTGAACCAGACCTGGTGACTTAAACTCACGCCAGGCGTGTGTGTGTGTGTGTGTGTGCCCAAGATCCCGAGAGGAGAATGGAGGAGAAGGGATTGTTGTG